AGCTTGTCAGTTGGCGGAGGCCGAAAGATGGTCATAGTCACCCCTTTTTGATCTATATCTATATCTATATCTACATCTATATATATTATTGTGTACAAAAGTACATTCATGAACTGTTTTTGTATCAAAGATCTTGTATCAAAGATCTTGAAGAAATTTTCTGTTTGCTAAAGTGCGCTTTTTCGCTTATTGATGCTGCCAGAAAAGTTTAGGGCGAGTTAAGCAGCGCGAGAGTAGTAAATCAATCAATCATTTTAGAAAATTATCAAACATGTAAGATAATAATAAGTGTGGTATTTATTGTCAACTCATAGCAGATCATCTAAAAGCTATTCACAACAAAAGAAAAATCTGACATTGAAAAGTAAATGCTTTAAAGATTAATTTGAATATTTTCATTTGATTATAAATGTGACAAAGGTAAGTAAAATGAAGTACGCAACAACATTTTCCCAGAAAATCTCTCAATTGCTCGCAGACGTCTTGATTAAAAAGGGGTTTTACACAATCAATATTCCTAAATATATATTTTCTTTTATCAAATTCATGCAATTGTCAGAAAATGTCACTGAAATATCACTGTCCTTGAAACATTTCTCGGCAACATACACAGATAAGTGGTACACATGAATAAGGTATGTATGTATGTTTGCGAATTCCAACGTCCTTCAACAAACTGCTTGAAGCACTTGTTGTCAATATAATTACGTAAGTAAGACAATGATTTGGGCTCAACTTTTTCTGTTCGTGTATGTGTATGTGAAGCAAAAAAAATTCATTCATTGTCCCCACTTACTTTGGTTCGAGAATCAAGGCTAAGACCTACCATACATATCACTGATTCCACTTTGGAGGATTGGTCTGGCAATCGCCAGCTGATTTTCTCTCCCTCTTCTTTCTTTGTAGTGATTTTAAAGTTTTTATATTTCCGTTTTACAATTTTTGTTTCGTGGATTCTTGTATGTTTGTGTATTTTCAGGCACCCTGTAGGGAAATCAGTATTCTATGCGTGGTGAAGACTTTTCACTCAATTATTTTACTTTCTATTTGGGCTTTATGTTAAATATAGCTGATTTTATTTATTCTTCTTATTCTTTAAGTGTTTCATCCCCATTTTTCTCTTTAGAAAACTGTATCAGCATGATCCTAATGAAGATTCTTTAGAACATCAATACCTATATCTACTTTGAAGATGGCGTTAATAATTAATATTATAATGTTCTAATATGCCGAACATACGAGAGAAAGCTACTGTCCTTGTCCTTTTTTCAAGAATATGGAAATCATTTGAAGCATAAATTATTGGTGGCCGTCCAGCCGGCGCAGTGCTTTTGAGATACAAGTAGAAGTCACAAATTGTCAAAAAATAGGAAAATTGTATAGCTTCATATGAGCAATACATTGAATTTTCTTAAATAAACGTTCATATTTTGAAAAAAAAAAAATATACAAGTCAATGAAGTCAGCCAAGAAAAATGTAATGAAACTAAAAGTTGGTCTACGTCGAACTTTAAATATCAATATGCCGCTTACGAGTATAAAAATTACTGTTTAAACTGAATTGAGGTACAATTTAGTCCCTACCGGTTTGTCCGAAATTCGACACAAGCCACATATCAGGGGTATTTATTATAGATTGCTTCGATATCTTTATTTACATTTGAGTTTATTATTGAAAAGTCAGTGCAACTACCTTAAAAGCACATTATTCGGGCAGTAGTTCTGGATTTTTGGAAAAAATTGAGTTTAACTAAACTGTATTTGAAAGTCTTTATAATCAGAGTGGAATACAGGATCGTGTGTGAACCACTTTTTCATATATACATAGATGCATGTACATACATAAATACATACATACATACATCTGTGTACAGTTAAGTAATAATTTAGTAGTTTTGTTGGCTTTGAAACAGCCGGTTCTTTTATTACTTTACTGCACTACAGATGATATTACTTTCGTTACATTTCGTAATTTATTGTAGTACTAAGTTTATGCTTTGCCACAGGCACTCACACATACATACACACACATACTTATTTTCTTACTCAATTCTTAGCAATTTTTATTGCTCTGATTTTCGTTTTGTTTATATTTTCTTTTCGTAACTGTTGATGATGATTATTTTCGGTCATGGTCAGTTAGTTACCCCAAACACACATTCACACACACATACAGCCGCTTAGTTGCTATTTATGTGTGTATGTTTGAGATATTTGCGAGCCATTGCCTTGCGGTTGTTGACATTGAACGCGGATGAAAAGTACATATGTATGCGGCGAGGGAAATAGAGAAAAGGCAAAAGCACAAAACACTTGAAAATAAATCGCATCAATTTAGTTGATTCTGATAGTAAAAGTGCCATAATGTAGACTTACTTGTGTGCCTTGGCCGGTTATGGGGATACATTTTCGGCAGTAAGTGGGTCTGAAAATAGAAAAGTAGATGAAATAGTAAGTGAAGGTGTTTGTATATGCATGTTAGGGTATTCGTATAAGCTCATGAAAGTATTTATATACTAAATTCGTTTGTAATGGAAGTGTAAGAAGTCACTTATAATTGGGTACAAGCATTGCAGCTCTTAGATAATGTGAACTAATTTGTTGAAAAATTAGAAAAAAAAATATATTTATAAAATTTCTTCATTGCTTTTTATAAACAACTTTATTATGAGTATTTTTATTAAACATTTTTTTTTTTGGCGAGCTAAAAAGATTAAATTTTTCACATAATTTCCAACTCTTTCGCGCAAAAACGCGGCAAATATGCAAAGCATTCCTTTAACTCCCAAATTCATTTTTGTCAACCAAAAAACGCTACAAAAGCAAAACAGCACGAAAATCCTTTAAAATTTCACCTAAGCCCTTAGCACAATGAAAAATGCATACTCATAATTTAATTAGTGAGCTTTACAAAAGACTAAATGAAAAATGAGTTACGGGAAATGAGCAAGAATGCAACGGTAGAAAGCAGAAAGAAACGACCAGCCAGCAATACCAGAGAAATTAATGTCGAAAGTATGGCAACCATGGCGAGCGGGTAGCTGCGAAAGCGCGCAGAATAACCTGCAGCCAGACACATTTAATGAATTTGGCCTCCTTTAGTCACGATTGTTGTGTGCACTTCGTTTCGTTTCGTTTAGCTATTACTTTTGTTGTTTTTGTTACGGTATTTTGTTGTTTGTAATGCTTTATAAGCAGCTGCATGTTGCACACAGATAAGCTTCCATTTAATGACGCAACATTACTGCAGGTGTTTTACGCTCACGCCCACCGCCTCCCACATATATCCTTTGCATTATTTCCGAGATTTGCTTTGGCGTTGTTTGTCGACATTTTTGCTGGTAGGAAGTGTTGCACCGAAATGTTTAGTCAGCACGAAATGAAAATCTTTAGCTTGAGACATGGAATTATAGCGTTCAACAGTTGCCATTGATTTCAGCGACCTATCTTGTTGTAACATTCACATGGAATTTAAATAGCTCGAAGCTAAATTTTGAAGCAAAACAAAGTCCAAATTTTTTATGCTGGTAACTGCTGCAAAGTTAGAAAGCCGACTTGTTGTTTATAGAACATTTGTTTCTATACCGCATCGAGCATCTGCTAAAGGGTGACAGCATTGCAAATCAAAACTAAAAGGGTTTCCACTCCTGAACTGATAGACCAATGGTTTCCACCTCCAGGTTCTTCACTAGTCCAGTTCTGTATAGCATTCAAAGTCAGTTTACTCTCAGAACTGCTACAGCTCACCCAGGCCATCAACGCACTATCTGTATAGTTGGCCAGAATTCCACAGTTCTCTTCGTTGGACGACATCGAAGCAGTCAGTGATATGAATCCATTATATGACGGTGGTTTTTGCACTGGGTTGGTATCACATTGTTCGCTAACAAATCACGAATTAATAAATATGATGTGTTATTGTGAATAACTTTCCACAGATCTAAGTTAACTAAATTCTCTAGAGGTATTGTTCCAGAAAGCCAAAAGTCACTACAATTATGTCACGCAAAGAGTTTGACTAACTCAAACTGCGTCAAAAGTGCGGTCATAAACCGAGGACACCACTTGTTCCCAAACATTCTAGCAAGAAGGTCACAATATGCTTGCGTCTTTTCGGTGACATTTAAATTGAAGACCTTTATGTTCATAGTCCAACATCTACCACAGGAAGAGATCAGAAAACAATAGAATTAGAATGCAAAATAAATTAACGTAACAATTGATGTGGATCTGGTCACAGGTACACGATCGATGCTAAGCCAAATTATTTCTATGAAAAACATTTATATTTATGTCTGTGCTTTATCTATAGAAAGGAATAACAAAGGTGAACAGGTATAAAGCTGACAGCGGCTTAATTTCAATGCCGAATATGCTAAGGCCTTTCCAGCTTTTCGCTAAAAGATAAACCATTACTTAACACAAAATCTTCTCTTCAATCACTATTTTAAAGTAGTACATTGAAGACTTATTTCAAATATAATAAAAAGTTAGAATAACCAATTTAAATTAGGCATCAACTCATTTTAACAGATAAACAAAAAACAGCCCAAACCAATACACGGTTTTATTTAGTCCATTAAATATTAATTGTATAACAAGTTGCATTTACACTGGAACTAGATAGCCGCTAGACTCGGTTGCTTTGAACCTTTATAACAAACTGTAAGCCTCTTAAACATCCAATGTAACCAAATATAAGCGCCATTCTTCTACCTGTCTGCTACTCACACCGATGAAAGAAAAAGTTAAGATGACATTTTTAAACCTTTTTGTGGTTATTTTTTGCAAGATCTATGTTAGAGCTTCTATTTTCTATTGTATTAAAACTCCATTGTTTTCGCACTACTAAACTTAAGAACATATGACTTTTCAACGTCCTTTTATATCGGTTACCCCAGTAATTATCCGTTTTCTTGACCTTGATTTAATGACCGCAATTTTGCCATAAGTTTGACTCGGTCAAACGCATTGCAACATCTTAAGGTATATAAACGAAAATTTTCGAAGCAAAAGTCATCAGTCATCTTTTGGCTTCCACACTGAATATAACTGCAAAATTTAGTTTAGCTCATATATTCTCAGCTCTTTAAAACAGTTATACACAATGGCTCAACATTTGGAATCAAGCTTCTCAATTCGTAATTTGTTAGCGACCAATGACGGTACCAACACAGCGCTGACACCACCACCATCTGACGACGATTCGATGTCGTCTAACGAAGACAACTGTGTAAGTCGGCCTAACTATACATATAGTGCGTTGGTGGCCATGGCGATCCGTAGCAGCCCTGAGGGTAAATTGACATTGAGCTCTATACAGAACTGGATCAGTGATAACTTCCCTTACTACCGGAAAGATGAGCAGGGTTGGCAGAATCAAATAAGACAAACGTTGAGCACGAACTCTTGTTTCTGCAAAAGTCCACGACCTATGGGCGATCCTGGACGTGGAAATTATTGGGCCATTAGTCCCGAAGTAGGTACACTTCGGTTTCAGCAGCCAGTTGTTGGCACTGAGGCAGTACTTGGGGCGATGGTGAATGGTGTACCGCATCCGCAGGCTTCCAATGCGGTATACTTCCCTTCACCGCATGAGGTACAAGGAGCCCATCAGACCATGTTGGTGCAGGCTTTTCAGGAACAGCATACCTGGTACCAATATCATCTGCAACAATCACATCTACTACAGCAGCAACTAGTAGTCCTGCAACAACAGCAGATTCAACAGCATTACCAGGAAGTGTATCAAAAGCTCGCATTCCACCAACAGCAAATCGCTTTTCTAAGCGCTCAGCAAATGTCAGCATAAGTAGTATTTTATAACAGCGAGACATGTTGCACGAAAGTTAGTTTATTTACTGTTTTCATATGTAAAATTTTGTAAGAAGTATATATAGTGTAAAAAGAGATAAATGAATATTGTATATATTGTAATTGCTGTTATCTAATTTGCATAATAAATTTTAGTTAAAAAATAAAATACCTAAGTTCTTAGTTATATTCATTTATGTTTAAACCTGCATATTGGCCATGAGACATAGTATGTCTTGTTCAAAAGCGTTCGGCTTTGATTTTTCAAGCCGCAGGATTCCTACGATATAAGAACTTTTGTGGCAAGGGCTGAGTTTTTGCCGAAAACGTCGACCTATCGGTGAGGCGCTATGTTACTGAAATTCCCAACAGATTCTCCTGATAATAATGTTTCCTTGGATAAAATCTGATCACTTCTTTATCGCTGCCTCCATATAATATGTATATAGATTCTAGTCATTAAAATAAAATCTATATCGATTAAATCTATCAACTTTTGAGTTGTATTAATAGAATTGTTGCTTTACAATAGGAATCAATTATGTTATGGATCGCTATGTCCATATCTGCGTTTTTCCCGTAGGTCGATAACGAATCATTGGTCATAATGATTTATCTATTTAAATTCTAAGAGCCACTTATGAATTACGAAAAAAAAGCTTGGTATCCACAGGAGCAAAGAGGGACCCGCACACAACCACATTTCTAACTAATGTTAAATGTATGGCAATAAATTAAGGCCACCATGTGGTATGAGCGACGTCAAAAAATTTCTGAATCAGTATGAAGTGCGACATATTGACTTAATATTTGTAAAAAACAACCTAAAGTCAAGTCATGTCAAGTTCAAGTAGAAAAAAACTAATATCTATTTGCTTTATATTCTTAAAAACCGCCTTCACAACACAGCAACCAGAAAAATGTTCAATATGTGGAAAATTTACGCTTAATAAAATTTTATTTTAAAAGGTGATATAAAAGGTGTTACGTTTGCGTGACAGCAGGATAAAAGGGAACGTGCATAAGAAAATTGAGAGACAAAAATTTAGAAGTGCTAGTCAATTAGTTCAAATGACGCGGAATATGCACTTGTAATTCAAAACTAATTATATATATGCAAGTATATATATATTTCTTTTTAAAACAGAAAATTTATATCAAAGCAGCAGTCGCACCTATGTAAAATTGTTTCATTTCACACGAAAACGATATATTCATATTTTTCAAAATCGGGGGTATTACACCCTTTTTTGCACGTTTCCGATATTTTTGAAAATTATAAGATCAATCATCATCATAATTTACGTGATTAAAAAACCCCTCAAAAGTATAAGCATATCCCTAACAAATTTTGCTTGCTAACCGTTCCTAGAGTGCAAATAGTTTTCAAACTCTAGTCTTTGCAATTGGATTGAAGTTTTCTGCACTAAATTCTGCTTAGTGTCGCTGTTATACCTGGTTTCACTGTTTTGTTACAACTTTAAACAATTATGTTGCATTGAAGAATTGCCTACATGCAACAGCAAAGCAAAAACCGCAGCTCTTATTGTATAGTGGGATATCCCGGTTATTATTGTCTTTGCCTTGATTTAGCGACTTTCTCTATGAGGTTGATTTATAAAAAATTTGCTACCTCTCTTCACAGCCAATCGTCGGCATTATCGATCAGCTGTTTTGGTTTTGTAGGTATTGAGTTGACATTATGTCAAAAACCGAACGAAACTTCGTCTTTAGTCTTTTTATCATACCACACTTTGAATCAAAGTTCTTCATCAATAGATTATTCTCCAACAGCAAGGAATAAAAGAGCGCGTAGTCTCCTTCGCCCAAACTATATTAGAGGTATACATAGTGCAGTATAGGTTACTTTTTTGTTATTAAGCTCTTTTATAAACCTACCTATATTCGAAGGTTTTGTGCGAAATTGACAGGCTTAAGTTATGTTTTCATATCCATCTGGTGAATCAGGTTACTGAATTCCAAGAAGTTATTCTAAAACATTTTAAAATATGAAGTAACGAAATTAAGGTTAATTCAGCAGCCAGCAACCACCGGCCAAAAGCATAATACGCTTTGTATTAGCGGCGTTTCTATGGCATCAAAGTTACGAGGTTGCCACTGGTTTCTTGAAATCCACCGCAAGTGCGGGTTCGCAGCGGATACAACAATAGAATTTGTGTACAGTAACGTAATAGAACAAAGCAGCGCATAAGCTACCGCAAGCCACTTCATTGCTTTCTTGACCAAGGAGGAGGTTTGAGGTCTATTGTTCATCACTTGCATCTGTTTATTGTTTTCAAGATTATACCTGTTTGACTTCAGTTAAAGGATGGGATCTGCTATGGTAAGCAGGTAGGAAGCTGGCGCGATCCAGCATCGAAAAGGTCAACCGATTAAGTTTTGTGTAAGAGAAACTTTGCGTCAGCTGAAAGCATGTTTTCAAACTCTATTGTAATTATTCGTCATTGTTCAGCTTCATTGGTATACTTGTGGTGATTCACAGTTCAAAAGATAATAGATATTACAAGATTTGAATGCAAAAGTAAAAGCGGATTACCCGATGGCCTTCAAGGTAATCTACCACTGTTATTATGGGGTTTTCCTACAATTATACTTCTCGCGATCTTGATCTGGGGAAGTTGCGGTTAATAGTTGGTTTCACGCAACGTTGACTTGTTGTGATATTTTCTTAGGTTTAATGTTTTGGAATATTTTAATTATAAAGCTGTTTGGAACTCGATAAATTTTGGGCTCAAATTAAATATTCTACAACTTTAATCTTAAATTGTAACTGTACTATTAATAATTTTATCCTAAATACTGGAGGCTAATTTAAACCATTTCACTGAAACTTGCAATAAATTCTCATATTCAAATTAGTTTTGAAGCCTCTCTCTCCAAAACTAAGACATTAAAAATTGTGAAACATTTAACAGTAACCTTATTTTATTATATTTGGATATGCGATCGAGCATGATGGACAACCCTGCACCTCGTGTGGTGTGGGGAAGTACACAGCATTTGGAGCCTGCGGATGTGGTACACCATTCACCATCGTCCCAAGTACTGCCTTAGTGCCAAGAACCGGCTGATGAAAACGAAGTGTACCTACTTCTGGACTAATGGCCCAATAATTTCCACGTCCAGGATCGCCCATAGGTCGTGGACTTTTGCAGAAACAAGAGTTCGTGCTCAGCGTTTGTCTTATTTGATTCTGCCAGCCCTGCTCATATTTCCTGTAGTAAGGGTTGTTTTCACTAATCAAGTTTTGTATAGAATTCAACGTCCGTTTGCTCTCAGTACTGCTGCAGATCGCCATAGTCACCAAAGCACTATAAGTGTAGTTGGGCCGAATACAGTGGTTCTTTTCGTTGGAAGCTATTGAATTACTAGGAGAGACGGAGCCATTAGATGGTGCTGGAGTTATGTATGGAGTATATGAGGAAAGTAAAATTCTCTAGGGTTCCCTGTGCGAAGGCAAAAATCAACTGATTACCTCTTCTTCATATCGTATTCGTATCTATACCCCAAAAGGCATTTCTGTGTTACAAAGAGTAAGTCAAAATAATATCAGAGCGCGGTTATAAAATCAAGGACACCTGAAGGAATAAAGTTAGTTTCCAAACAATAGAACAACAAAGTTGCGACTTTCCGGCGCCATTTAATTTGTCTTTTGTCCTTAAGAAAAACCAAAATCTTCCTAGAACCAAAGAAATAGCATAATAGAATTGATGCGGATCTTATCACAAGTATACGATCGATGTTAATCGAAATGAGTTTTAAAAATATTTTTCTTTGCTTTCAAACTTCTTTGAAGCTCTACCGAATAAGAGCCAAAGTCATAAAAGCAGTGACCTTAGAAAGAGATTACATAAGTGTGTAGATACAAAGCTGCCAGTGAGTTAGTTTGATCGCGGACTGTGCGATTCCAACAATTCATTATTTTGAACAAATACAATGAAAATTTTTTGTATGAAGCAAACATGAAAAATCGAAGGATTAACTTTTGGGTAAATGTTTTTTTGCTGAAAAAGCTGACATCAACCCAAAAGGACATAAGATTTTAAATCAGAGTTGACTCCTTGAGATACTTATTCTATCTCATATTCAGTCTTAAGCTGCTAAACCTGTTTTGAAGAGAATGTAGCCTTAAAAACTATATATCATAAGACAACCGCTAAATGTGGTTACCTTGAACATTTACCACTTGCGAAAATTCTCCTGAACATTTACTACGTAAATGCAAGCGCCATTATTCTACCTGCCTGATATTTATAGCCACCAAAGAGAAGGTTACTTAGTACTCTAATATCTGAATTTACTTAGCGTCGCTCCTTTACCTGAAAGGACATTTCTAAACTTCTCTACTGTTATTTTTTGTAAGGATTATGTTAGAAATTCTATTAACTATTGTTTTTAAACTTCAATGTTCTCAAGAAACTACACTTTAGAACATATGACTTTTTAATCTTTTTTTATATCGGTTATGTCAGCTATAGATTTTTTTCTTGACCTTAATTTAATGACCGCACTTTTGACATTAGTTTAAGCTAGTCAAACTCTTTGCAACATGAACATGTCTTAGAGTATAAATACAAAATATTTCACAGCAAAAGTCATCAGTCATCTTTTGACTTCCACATAGAATATTACACGAGGATTTTATTTACATTGTATAAACTCAGCTCTCTAAACAATTATCCACAATGGCCCAACTTTTGGAATCAAGTTTTTCGATTCGTAATTTATTAGCAAACAATGACGGTGTCAACCTATCGCTAACACCACCACGATCGGATAGATCCATGTCACCGAATGATTCGATGTCCTCTAATGAAGATAACTGTGGAGGTCGACCCAACTATACATATAGTGCGTTGGTGACCATGGCAATACGTAGCAGTCCTGAGGGCAAACTGACGTTGAGTTCTATACAAAACTGGATCAGTGAAAACTTCCCTTACTACAGGAAAAATGAGCAGGGTTGGCAGAATCAGATACGGCAGACGCTGAGCACGAACTCTTGCTTCTGTAAAATTCCACGACCAATGGGCGATCCTGGGCGTGGAAATTATTGGACCATTAGCCCAGAAGTAGGAGCAATTCATGCCCAGCACTCGGTTGTAGGCAGTGAAACAGTAATTGGGGCGATGGTGAATGGTGTACCGCATCCTCAGGCTCCAAATGCTGTGTATTTTCCCACACCGCACGAGGTACAGGGCGTCCATCAGTCTATGTTGGCTCAGGCGCTACAGGAACAGCATGCCTGGTACCAATATCATCTGCGACAATCACATCTACTACAACAACAACTGGCCGTCCTGCAACAACAGCAGATTCAACAGCAGTACCAGGAAGTCTATCAAAAATTTGCCTTCCACCAACAACAAATCGCTTTTCTAACGTCCCAGCAAGTATCAGTTTAAGTAGTATTTTTAGCAGTGTCGAAGTGTTGCCGCAGGGTGAATTGTTTATATATATATAATATTATTTTAGAATAAATATATAAAACGTAAGTAAGGACTAGACTAATACTGTTTATAGTGTAATTATTGTTAAATATTTTATTAAATAAATCAAAGCTTGTAAAAATTAAATACTTTAGTTTTACTTTACTATTAAATATTTTTTTTACAAATATTATTTATAATAATATTTAGAGCAAACAATTTCAGCAAGTGAGGAAGATCCGTTTGTTATTTGTCGCTTTCTATTTTTATTATTACTCAAAATGTCTCTCTGATTTTTGTTTTTAAATATCTATAGTAGTTGTGAGCACTTTGTTGTAGAGTATTACAAACAAGCCTGATGTAACGAAGTTATGTTTAATTACTACAATTGATATTGAAGGTGTGCTACTCGTTGAAACCATATATCGTGTTATAGAAAATTATCATTTCACTTTGACTTATAACAATCGATTTTAAGGGAGGCACTGTTAAGCCAACGTTAAGCTAACGGTCATTTAATACTAAAATAATTTCCAGAGTTTGCAATTATTCATTAACATTTTCTGCACGATTTAAGCCATCCTGTCCTGCAACTTTATAACAACCGCCCAACCCCGGTTTATTTGACCTTCAGCGAAAGCGTGACTATGTAAATAAGCGCGGTTGGCAGCTCATTTACTGTGGTCCTCTAAGATCTTACCCATTGATCTAATGCTGCAGGCACTCAATTGCGCGTGACACAGGGGTTCGGCGAGTAGTTTTCACATTCAACTTTTGCCGCTTAATTAAATTTTATAAAGAGTAAATTAAGGAGATATTGAACGTATTTGTTTTTGTTGTGTTATTGGAATAGTTTGTGGGAGTAAACAGCAAATAAAAGATAGTAGCGGCTTATAAAGCTTAAGACAATATTTCGCACTCTTTAGAGATTCATAATTAATTTAACGTCGCGCATACCACATGGTGTACGCCGTTTAATAGCAGTTTAGGATTTACAACTTTAAGTATGGTTTTTAGACAAGTTTATCGTAACAGTTATGATATGTATTTGCGTAAGTATATTAAGACTTGTACAAATATAATCTTACACATAATAATCGCTCATATGTATGTACGTCGTGGTGGACTAAAATCTGCATTATTACATAAATTTGGTATAAAATTTATATGCGCATTTCTATTACAAAGTTTATAATACATAAAGCGAATAAAAATTTGCAGAATAAGTGCCGTTGTTTCTTATTAAGGTTTGATTTCACGTAATAACAATGAAGTTGGGAGCTAAAAAATCGTATTGCCATGATTGCGTTACATAAGTTTGGAAGAAGCGCAAGTAAAATGTATGAGCTTCTCAAGAAAACTACTTTGAACCACTTTGGCAGAAATCCTCTCAGGAAACAGAAAAATATATCAAAGGCAATGAATATATCGATCAGATCAATGTCATCTCCACATGAAGGCTTACCATCGGTCAACTAGTGGTCTTCTGGCAACGCGCTTGAAGCAAATCAGGCTCAACAAATGCAAGCGGCTTCTTCAGTAGCACGCGATCTACGGGCATGAATGTAAAGTTCTTATAGATGAAAAAATGTTCACTGTTAAAAAGAGATATTTCTAGGGTTCAACGTAGTCTTAGCTTATTACTATGGTACTATTGACATCTAAATAGAAATTCCGGATTGTTTAAACCACCTTCAACCTTAACTGTCTCAAAAGCTATGATTTATATACATATGTCAATCGTGTCCAGTGGCAATTACCCTCTCTTTAGTATATGGCAGCGATTAAATGAAAGACTAACCCTTTTCATATATCGCATTCGCATCAATAAAACAAACTAAAACGAGTCATAGTGAATAAGCAAGGAGGCAGGCATGGAAAAGATATTCACACGTGATATGTCAGTGTCAGAGAAATTGTTTTTATTGTTATTTTTTTGGTAGTCCTTCATGGTTCCTGAATATGCCATATGCTACATGAATACTTAATCCATCTTTCTTTGTTTCAAAAATTACACATTCTGTCTGCCCAAAAATACAACAACCACCAACTCGTGTTATGTCATTTTTTCCATATTTTCCTGTACATATTGATTTCTTTTCCATTTTTTAATATTTTTTTTATACATTTTCGCATTTATATTTTTATTTTTATACTTTTAAATCTTCTTTTTTTTATTTTTTTCTTCTCGCTGATGCAATCTGTGTGAACAACAACACGTAAAACTACGATTTGCGAAAAGTAAACTGTGGCTGGAAGCGAAAACAAAGCAAAGTGTAAATAGTAAAGCACGTAAGGCGAGAGAATAAAGCAAGGAAAAAATACGAAATTGATGGCGTCACACGTAAATCCGTGGCGACATATCCGCAGAGAAATTCAACAAGAATAAAGGTAAAAAAAAAAATGTATATACCAAAAAAAACCCAAAGTCTGGCAACTATAATAAACAGACAAAAAGAAATTTTGGTTTTTTTTTGAGAAAACTTTTTGCTACAAAATATTACACTGAACGAGTGAACAATGAACCCGTCATTGTGACACCCGACAGCACACGACGCGGAACGTGTGATACGCGGCTGGTAATGACACATCTCTCAGCTTACGTGCAGACCATGCTGACCACCTGAACTGTAAGCTGCTAAATAGTGAAGCCGTTATTTGGAGGTCACACATATGTACATATCTCTATATGTATGTATATGCACACACCCGGCTGTACTAAGACCTTACATTGGTGTAACCGTTGAATCCATTGCTGCAGCTGACAAAATGTCCACTAGCTTTGCTTGGTGCTGGTGATTTATATTTTTGCTATTTTTAATATACAGCAGACCATTGTGAAGTTACGTAAATAAAATTTTATATAATAGCAACATATTTTATTTTATTTTATGGCAGTCCTTTGAAATGCCAACTCGAGAGGTCGAGTGGAATTTATTATTTAGACAAATAAATTTAATATTTTTTTTAGTCTAAGATGTTTGTAGTAGCGGATATATTATATAAGTTAAGAGCTCTACATAATAACTAACTGAAATTTTATTTAACGGGATGCGACTAATACATAGATGAACAGAGATTCTGTTGAATCCGTAAGACCTTTCGTTGTTAATTTTAGTCACTATAGTTTTGTCTTCTTCTCCGACACTCTTCGTTTGCACTGTAGTGTGAGCTTTAATATGACGAACCTAATATGAATTCTCGTTGGCATATGTATCGAATTCGAATCGATAAGTCTGTTTTGGCTTCAATGGTGACTTCAACTATTTAGTCCAAAAAGTGAAAGGCGTAAGATCCATGATATTTTAGTCTTAATTTTGCCAAAATGGCGCAGTCAAGAAGGAAATAATTAGATCCTATCTTCTAGCAAAGAGCTCTGAAATTTAGTAATCTGAAAGATTTCTAGACCAACTGGAGAGATGCTCATGCTACAGTTAGCGACTAGAAGCCCGAATATCAGGTAAAAACAAAAAAAAAACGTTAACTTCGGCTATAATGAGGCTACAATAACATTCACAAATAAAAAAGTTACATACAAAAAAGTTTCAGATCGATAGCTCAAAAACTGAGGGACTACTTGTAGTTGGCGTATATACAGACAAACGGATAAACTCACATGGCTAAATCAACTCAGCTGTTATATCGATAATTTATATATATATATATATATATATTAAAAGATCTGCGACGTTTCCTTTTGGATGTTGCAAACGAGCTCACTAGATCCATGTAATTTAACCAGATAGACCTTGAAATCTCGAAATTAAATGCGGTTGAATCGTAGAAGATAGTTGATGTTGGACCTGTTCTCAGCCAGATGTCTTATCCTGCTGTTGGGAATATACAGATATATTTTTTACAATAATGGTGTTGTCATGAGCTGCGATTTTGACCCACAGTAACTCGATCGAATGTATAATATAATGACCTATATTTGGACAACAGAGATTTTTGAGAGTTTTAAAAAAACTTTGGCGGGTAAAAAGCTTCATTACGTGTGCAGTTTACATATGATCAAGTGAATTATGAGCCATCACAAATATTGGGTATAGACACAAAACGAAAAAAGTTGCCACTGGCTTGAAATACTAAGTCAATAATATATATATGATAAAGAAGCAATACAAATTGAAACGATATTTAAGAAAGGTTTAAAAAGCTATTTTTGGTAGAGCCTTGCCACCTGCTTATGATTTTTAATTTAATAAAATTTAGAGAACTCATAAAATGTTTGTCTAAAGATAAAATTTTTAAAAAGGCTTAGAGTTGAACATACTTCATAGAAGTGAAGATTGTGTTTGAAATAGAGTTGCCATTTGTTTGAAAATTTTATTTTCATAAAACTAAGCATACATTTTGAAATTTAGGTGTCCGAATAAAAACAGATTAAGAAAACTACAGTTTGTTTTTGAGCAGGGATGCCACCTGATTACATATTTTACTCAATTAAATTGAACAAATAAAAGAAATTTTAAAATGTGGACATCAAGTTAAAAGTATTTTTTAAGAAACAAGAAAGAAGTATATTATATATTTTTGTAAAGGGGTTGCCGCTTGCTTTCACTGTAGAAGCAACATTCCAACTCTATAAAATAGACATTCGCTAGAACACCTAAACTAAACTTAACCGCCATAGTTATTCCAAAAGCAAAGCAATCATTAGCTCTTTGCCTTCTGCTAAAATTGGCTCAAAATTGGTTCATTTAGATAGCTAAATGTAAAGCCAAAACTAAATTTGTCCACCCACTCGAGTGTCTGTTGTATTTTTAGCTTTTTCTTAAAATCAAATCAAATGTTAAAACAATTTTAGACGAGGGCACAAACCAAGTGTTACGCACGGCTTGACAAGGTTTGCAAAATATCATGCAATTGCTAATGCAGAATGTGCTGATTGAATATGAAAGTGAATAAGACATCGATGAAAAACCAAATGACAGGCAACAGAAGTAAGGATAAAAAAATAAAATGTTTAACCCTATATCTGTCACATGTAGACATGTGTATATTTAACTGCTGGTAGATGTGACGAGGCACCGGTCTGTTTTAATGAAAATGCATGTAAAAATAGTAAGAAATAATGGAAAAAATGTGCTTTGTTTCCATAGCAGTGACGTTGGCAGAACTTTAAGATGAGAGGAGATGCTCGA